TTGAGTGTCGTTCAAAACATAGTTGATGGCCTTTGGGTCAAAGAGCATGCATCTGATTTCCTATCTTCAATTTCAGTATCTTCGCCTTTGGATATGACCAGTCCAAACACTCACACCCATGAACGCATTCGTTTTGAAGATATGCCCGTATTCTCGCCGCCATAGCTCTTGAGGATGATATTTCTCCCCACTGACGGCAATATCCGCCTCTACTAACATGTGCCCAAATATCAGCGAGGCCGAAGGTGGTCCCCGAAGTCGTCGATGAGACGAGAACAGGGGTTTTACAAAGAGTTTGATGACTTCCGCGACGACATAAGTAGCGGCAACGACTCCTGCTATTACAGTGACCTTGAGGGCCGCGCCTATAGAGGTCTTGACGAGTTGGAAGTCCACGTTGACTAGCTTTGAATACACATCTGCCGTTTGACTTGAACTAGGGATGTGACCGGATGGATCTACGCAACCACCAGGGGCTATCGCATTTACATATGCCATTGTTGGTATCCTTTGCGGTTGTAGAAGGGATCAAGTGTCGACAATTGTTCTGAGAAATAACCGCGTCCCCATTTGTGGATCTTACTGTTGACGCTGAGGTTCCGTGGGATCGGAAGGGAAGCAACTTGGTAGCAGTGGTTACTCGTGAGAACCAAAGCGGGCTAACCTCAGATAACAAGAATATCTAATGTAATAGAACAAGAGGTGTGTATAATAAGACAATAGGTTCAAACTCTCATTGCTATCTGAGAGCAGCGATCCAGTTGACCAAGTCTGCAAGACCGTCCGTCTTGGGCTCGGCAACTTTGGGATCGCGCACTTTTTCCCTCTTTTCGTGCTCCTCATTCTCGCTACCTTCATCCGTCGACTCGTGCCCAGCGGCAGAGGCAGTCGCGCGCTGGACGTCCACCCATCCACTCCTAACCTCGATCACACCTCCGTCCCACTTTTCGAAACGAAAAGTCTCGCCTTCCGTAACGTCCAATCCACCCACAGTATCTTCATCCTCTCCGTGTTCGTCTCCAATATCGCTGAGGACAGCCGGGCCTGATTTGAACGAGTTGAGTCGCCGCTTTTCGAGCTCGCGTTCGAGAACTGTGGTCGTGCGGCTGATGGCGAGCGCCTTGTTTGGTATCTTGAGTTTCACACCACCAGCAGCGCCGGTCGCAGCAGGAGTGGGTAACAAGTCGGCCTTGTTTGCGAATACGAGGAGAGGTGGTTGCGGTTGAGAGGGAGGCAGGTTTGAGATTGAATGCATGACGAGGTGCAAGTGTCTATGAGGATGTTAGGAATAAGCCAGCATTAGATATGTTTCATCACTTACTCTGCAACAGCACCCGCATTGCGCGTCAACGCAGCGGCATCGCAGACAAAAACGACAGCCTTGACACCATTAGCCGTGCTCTTTCCTTTACTACCATCTTGAAAGTAGTTGGTAAACTGCCCACGTATTCTAGGGTGCCCCGGGATATCCACCACTTGAAAGGGTTTGCGATGGAACGGCGACGGCGATCGGAAGAAGGCCGTGTTTTCTTGTAACGAGGTGAGAGTTGGTGGTGCTTGGTTGTAGATCAGCTGTGGCAAAGCGATAGCGTTTCATGACACCGAGAATACCATTCGTGTAAAGAGCCGAGTGTATTTCATAAAGGGAAAAAGACGACGATTAGCACGAGCACTTGGACCGAGGTCTCAACCGAGGCGACTCACTGAAGAGAATACGGCAGTCTTTCCGCCGTCAGAGGGTCCGACCAGCAAGATGACCGAGCCAGTCTTTGCTTTTTGGTTTCGGAAGAATACAAAAGCTGATCAAGGCCAGTTTCATCCCAAAACGTCAGATTGTGGGCACATTTCACGGAATCGTTGGTTCGGACATGATGATAGAGAGCCGCAGACCGAATTTGACACCAGAAAACAGATTGGATCGTGATGTAGGAGAAATAGTAAAAGGAGGTGATGAGCAAACGTCAAGCCAAACAAGAGTATCGTCGAGAGCTCACCAGCAATCACGACCAATGCCAATAAAAAAGACCCAATAGCAATAGAATGCGTTTCTATCCGTTTAAACTGATCCATTTTTGCATAAAAGCCGCTTCACAAAGACCACTCGAGATGGCAAAGCTTTCTAGCTGGTGATCGTCGGCGTACACGAATCCGTTCGGCAAGCTCCTAAAGGGCAGCTACACGAAAGGATGTGAGGAAGAGAGGTAGAGGAGAGCCAAATGGCGCGGTAATGAGCGCGACGAGGTGGGCCAGAAATGTCGTGGCAAGGTTCAACGTTGTGGAACGCAACTCCACGTGGTAAAAGCCCCTATCCCGTTTTAGAAATCGCAGATGATTCGAAATTTTCTTAGTAGAACTTGTTGTGTGAATTATTGAATTATTTATTGTTAAGATATGGACGTGTCCAGCTACATGAACACTTTTATGGTACGACAGGAACTCTCCTATCCAGTAGCGACATTGTTCAAAGCCTTTCAGCTGCAATAGGTACTCACTATGGTCTTTGCACCAGGTGGGTGCTATGACGAATTATGTGACGGCTGAGGGAATTTAGCGTAAGCCTCCCATATGACAGGGTACACTCACAGTATTTGGGACCTCCTCCACCTTCTGGTACCGTCCAGTTTATATCCTGAGTAGGCACCTTGATATCACACAACTTGCAATGAATACAGTTCTACAACGCGTGTCAACCAAGCTGTAATCCGCCTATCGCGGGCATAGAAGAGCCGCGCGCACGCGCACTCACCTGCGAGTTGATGACCAGTTTCTTGCCTTCCCAGCTTCCCTCTTCTCCAGGTTCAGCATCTACATACTCGTATACCGAGGCTGGACATGCTCTCCCCAACAACCCTGCATACTCGCCAACATTGACCTTGATATGGTGAACACGGGCCTGTGCGGCTTCCTTTGCTCGCTGAGCGTCGACTGCGTCTCCATCCACTTCTGTCGTCTCCCCAGTGGCCGATGCAGAGTCTGGGTACAGCGTCGTGTATGGTAGTTGGAGGTGGACGGGTTGGTCTTCTGCATGGTTGGTCGAAGTCAACGAGACCGAGGTCAAAATATCTGTGGAAAGCGGCGCCTCCGGTGCGGGATACTCGATTGGTTTATAATTGCTATATAAAGAATAGACGAGTTATTGCGGATTGCCACATAGTTCTGAGGATGGTGGGAGACTTGCCTCGCTTTGCCCGTATGTCCGCTATCGGTACCCTTATGCCTAAACGTCCACGGTACTCTGCCCTTGAGTATCAACGAGTCGATTCCAGAATAAGCCAAGCCACCCCATATACCCAGACGAGTATTGAAACTTGGCCGCAGGTTGCGGACTTCTTGGAGTTCGTCCCACACCCAGCTCTTCTTGAGGTTCTTTTCGTAAGCGGACATGTCAACCGGTGTCACCGACCCTTCCTCAGCTAAATCGCTTATTCAGCCACCCACACTTATCATGTACAGACATAAAACACTCGAGGGTGGAAGAGGGAAAAGAGAGAGAGAACAAGAAAGAGAGAAGCGTACCGGCCATCAGCTGTTCGAACCCAGCCTCCGCAGCCAACATGCCACTCTTCAT